AGTTATAGGCCTTGAATTTAATGCTATCGTTCAAGATCTTTTGGTATATATTGAGTAAGGCACCTTATTGAAGATTTGCTTGTGTTTTTCGGTTTTAAGTTAAAGCTTTGATTTTAACATTGACTCAATGAATCTGACGTTCTTTAGTACTCCAATAGCATCAATGGCGACGATTTTCTGGATAAAATACATTTTACGTGAGACATCCTATTATGAGAAGCATTTCAAAACTAGTGAAGTACCGTTACCGCACTACATACTAGAAGAGGTATGGTTTTGAATTGTCATGCAAACAGTTTATACGTGATTATTATGTTTGAACGTCATCTTATTAATTATTGGATAGATCGCCTTCCGACATCAATATCAACGATTTCACGTCTTTAATGCATACAAAGCGGAATTGGAGTCATCTAACAGATTCACACCAGAAGTCATGGTTTGTTATGATACCCTAATATTATATAATATATATGCACTTGACTGCACGAACTAATATGTTTTTATTCTTAACAGACGGCCCTTCGGAGACAATTAATGGAACGTATGGCTTACCTTGTTCAGATTGGATTCGTAATGCAAGTAATGTCGTATATAGAAAAAAATCTCAGCAAGTTAGACGAAAAGTTGGTTACTATTTTTGTCAAGAAGGCAAGTCACAAAAAAATAAAAAAATAAATATTATGAAAGAGCCAAATTAATTTTTATGAATAAGTAATCCCTAAATGCTTCAATATTATTATTTATAGGTTATCTCTGCATGCGGACCACCTTACTCGGAGGAATTTTATATTTCAATGTTGAAATTAATTGAATACGCAAAGATTCAATTGGACTCTCAAATCGATACGCGACCAATGATTGTGCAATTTTTTGGTAAGATTTAAACATTATTATCACACTTCATATTATCCAAAATCTTTAACATCATCTTTCTTATTTGCATACTTATAGCTGACTGTCCACCAACAATCGATAACAAATATCGTGAATATATAAATAATTTGTTGACTACTTTTGGTAATTAACTTTACCATCACATTATCATCTAATTACACCTTACGACATGAATACATTGCAATAATTACACCTTACGACATGAATGCATTGCAATATAGGTTAATGAGATTTGAAACTTTTTTTTTCTATATGTTTCAACGTAGTTTTTTTTTTTTTTTTTTGTCATGAAAGCTAGTCGTTGAACGTTTAACATATAGAGTTATATTTTACTTGCTTGTGAGTTGCAAATGATGTGTGGTAATTGGTAGCTTAGTAATCAAAAATATTAATAAAAAGATCGATAATACTATGTGGAAAAAATATATATATACATCCAAATTGTTTGCCTATCCGATTATTCAGATTTAGAATAGTTTTTATATGATCAGTATTCTTACCATTATGTCTTCTCAAAAAAGCGATAGGCAGTTGTAATATCTAAACTTATTTAAGTCATTGGCAAGATTCCGCCCATGTCTAATGTTAATGCTGATCCCCATTAATAAATTTCTCAATATCTTTCTTTTGCCACCTATTTTAACCTTGTGGCCAATACATCATCCGAGCCAGAAACTGGACGAATACTTTATTCAGATTATTGCATACAGATTCGGGTAACGATTTTAGAACAGTCCAAAAAATATTCTATATATAAAATATTCGGACCATGATTTTTAATCCGTAATTTAGGTGAAGCACAATACTATAAAATTGAATAATAATAATAATTGAATCCCGTGAATAATCTCGAGATCAATCATCGATCAAGAATTACAAATAGTACTATATAATTTTTGGTGAAGTAGTTCTGAGAGCTTAAAAATTTTGGACTGCCTTTGAAAATGATTATACCAAATTTATTAATAGGCAAAAGGTATCTACAATTCTGTAACCATCAAATTTGAAGATGGGTTAACATTAAGAGGACGCATCGACAATAATGCGATTGCTTTGATGAAATCTTTTTTCACCTTAATGTGCAAATTTACAATCTTCACCATAGCGACAATAGCCTTTAACAAAAAAGCGGCAAGGAGTGGTGCTGCGAGGGTGTGTCAAAACTCCAAATTTCGGTATCGAAACTGGCGCACTTGTCTCATGAGAATATCTACAGCCTTCACTATAACGACAAATGCCACGTTGGAAAAAGCGGCAAAGATATTTTTCATCGTTTGCTTCAATGTCATCCATTTGTTCATGATTATTATTTGTTACACTATTGCTAATATCATTATTGATATTAATGGGTTCAGTTGCGGTTTCTTCCTGAAACAATTCTCCTTCATGTTCACGAAATGGTTTTTGCATCATGAAAAAAATGTTAATTTAGATTTTTAAATGTTTTCCATGTAAAGTAGGTACGAAAATAATTTTCTTTGAAAATATTCAAATATTTTCGTCAAAAGAAAA